AAATGACTTGGAGAAAATTCTGGTTCCATTGACTTACATTAAAAGTAAAGTATGTTTTTTCCTTCTCCTGTAAAGTTACCATTTTGGAGATACAAGGTTTTCTTCCGACAACAGCGATATGTATGTTAATGTCTGTTTCAAGCTTCAGATGTTTGTAATTAATCTAGAACGTCCAAAAAATGTTCATATGAATTGCTATTAGCCTAGCGCTAACATACTGGTAGAATACCATAGGGGTGCTAGCAGAAATTAGAATTATCATAGAGGTGTTTTTTTTTTTTTTTCCCCTTGTTTTCCTTGAAGGCCTAACTCTGACAGTCATGGCTCTACAGGTCAAGAAATGTGATAAAGTGAGCTGGATCTTGACTCGGTAAGGGTGTTTTTTTTTCTCAGCACCTGTAGACCCTTACTCTGATTTCTTTCATTTTTCCTCATCGGTGAATGTACGCAAATCAGATAAAGAAGAGGAAAAACAGGGAAACACTAAACTCTAGTTGCGCAACAGTGAAATGGCAACAAATGAGCATGTTGTGCGCGATTTGGAAAGTCCCAGATCAATATTTACCTGTAAACAAATCCATGTTTAAAAAATGCAGCGAGACGTTTCCATGTGCAGTGCTTTTTTTTTAGTGAGTTTGTTGTCAAGTTGCTAAGGAACAGTTGCACAGTGTATTAAAAAGAAATCTGATGGAGTGACTCATGTAGACCCCAAGTTTTACTCATCATCAGATTACTGAAGTGCTTGTAAACATGTTGAGTGGATTTTCTCCAAAATCTGCTTGCCTGCAGTTATCAGATTGCATATATAAATATGTGTACATGCGTATTAACTCATAGTACATGGATGACTCTTTGACACGCAATTAGTGGCATTCATTACAATTAGCAGAGTGGTGCTGTTGTGCAATCCTGACCAAATCTTAAGGTCCTGTATTGATGAAATAGTGCTGTTATGATTATATTCTGATTTGATACATGCATTAGTGCTTTATTTTGTGATTGCATTATTTTGATCTTTAATACACCGATCAGGCATAACATTATGACCACCTCCTTGTTTCTACACTCATTGTCCATTTTATCAACTCCACTTACTATATAGGTGCACTTTGTAGTTCTACAGTTACAGACTGTAGTCCATCTGTTTCTCTGATACTTTGTTAGCCCCCTTTTACCCTGTTCTTCAGTGGTCAGGACCCCCATGGACCCTCACAGAGCAGGTACTATTTGGGTGGTGGGTCATTCTCAGCACTGCAATAACACTGACGTGGTGGTGGTGTGTTAGTGTGTGTTGTGCTGGTCTGAGTGGATCAGACACAGCAGTGCTGCTGGAGTTATTAAACACTGTGTCCACTCACTGTCCACTCTATTAGACACTCCTACCTTGTCAGTCCACCTTGTAGATGTAAAGTCAGAGACGATAGCTCATCTGCTGCTGCACAGTTTGTGTTTGGTCATCCTCTAGTCCTTCATCAGTGGTCACAGGAAGCTGCCCACAGGACGCTGTTGGCTGGATATTTATGGTTGATGGACTATTCCCAGTCCAGCAGTGACACTGAGGTGTTTAAAAACTCCAGCAGCACTGCTGTGTCTGATCCACTCAGACCAGCGCAACACACACTAACACACCACCACCACGTCAGTGTTACTGCAGTGCTGAGAATGATCCACCACCCAAATAGTACCTGCTCTGTGAGGGTCCATGGGGGTCCTGACCACTGAAGAACAGGGTAAAAGGGGGCTCACAAAGTATCAGAGAAACAGATGGACTACAGTCTGTAACTGTAGAACTACAAAGTGCACCTATATAGTAAGTGGAGCTGATAAAATGGACAATGAGCGTAGAAACAAGGAGGAGGTCATAATGTTAGGCCTGATCGGTGTAGACTTTCGTTGGATTACGTGAAGAGCCTGATTTACTAAAACAGCCACAGAGGCTCTTCAGGAGCTGTGATTGGTCAGCATGATCACAGCGCACTGTAAACAACACTGGTTGGTTAGGGGGCTCATTTGCACATTGCAGCCTTGCGTGATGTAAGTATTGTAAAAGCTCGTATCGGCTTACGGTTAACAACCAATACACCGTGCAGCCCTAGGCTTTTTTCAAGCATCAATGTCGAACACAGTGTTTACGCTCGGAAAATCTTCTCGGTTATCTCAGGTTTACTGTGTGGAAAGTCTGCCTCTTCCGTCTCATTTCGAGTAAACGTGTGAGACAGGTGCTATCTCTGACCTCTGTGATGTCTAGCACATCTTCTGGGTTTCTGTGGGTTCTTAGAAGTCAGAAAATATAGTTTCTGACATCTTCATTATTGAAATGCGTATAAGAAATTAGCTCATAAATGTTCATATCTGAAATTTCCTATTTTCTTTTTTTTTTTTCGAGCTCTGTGCACAAATCTGAAAAACTTCTCAAAGTAATCAAACCACATAGTGAGTTTTTATCACGTTTTTCTTCACGATTCAGTTATGATGTTTCTATGGTTTATGTACCAAAAACGTTTCATTTTTACACAGCCATTTTCCAGCCACTCTTTATCTCTTAGACTTAAACATGCTGTTTTGTTACTGTGCCTTACTGACTGTATACGTAAATGAGCTCTGTTCTGATAGGCTGCCTCATTTAAAAGTGGTCCATGCTGAAACACTCGTTATAACTTCAGTGAGAATAGGTGGAGATAAACCGCTGTAGACTGGATGAGCGGATGTATGTGAATGAGTTCATTTTTGTGACATCACTGAAACAGTGAAAACAGGCTGTCTCTGCAGTTTTAGTTTCCCTGAATTGACTGTTTACATCACCATTTTATTTCAAAAGGGCAAGGAAAGTTCAGTTCTCAGTGACCGTATCCCTTTAGTGATGGTACAACCACAAAATTTCATCACTTTAGTCCAGGGATCGCAACCCCAATGCTAAAAGCGCCATTTTGTCCTTTCAACAAAAATCAAGCCATCTTTGGAGCCACAACATTTTGAGTCCTTTTTACCATCTTGGCTGTAAATATGTCTCAGTATGTGCTGATGTGCTAATATAGGCAAAAAAAGTGTGAATGATTAAGTAATCAAATTCACGTTCCCTTTGACAAATCAGGTCCTCGGGCGGCGCGTTCGCTGAACAGATAACAACGCCGAGCAACACTGGAACTACGGCAAACAAAAAAGGTTCAAAAACGGTCTGTACAGCTGCTGTATTCACCCAATCGGCGACAAACAGTACAAAAAGTGTTTATCAGTACGATTGTTTACTGTTTACTCGAACTGAAAATATTATTTATTACGGAATCTCAGTTATCTCAATTGTGCCGTGTTATCTCGGGTGAATTTATATCGGGGATTGGGTGAAAACACGCGGCCGTTTAATCTTTTTTTGAACCTTTTCGCTTTCCGTAGTTCCAGTGTCGCTTGCTGTTGTTTGGTGGATGCGCCGCCTGAGGTCCCTCTTCAAAGGCAATGTCAGTTTGAGGGGAAACTGATTCGGATGAACACATAAGCTCACTCACATAAGCTCTGAGTTTTGCTGACTGTGCGACGCAGCGCCGTCGACCCAAGCAACACTAACATGCAGGGTGGAGAGGTACATGCAGGGCGTTGTAAGGAAAAAAAAATAGTACCCAAAAATATATTTTTTTTTTTACATTTAGCAGTATTTTACCATTATCTGTGTAACATATAAAACCTTATAAGACGCAGTTCACTGGTCATTTTTCAACAGTAGAGAAAACGGTGATATTTGTAGTGGAGACGTCTGGTTCCTAGTACTACAAAGGTGAACAATTTTGACTCTGAATTTCTCTAAAAAGGCGCATTTCACACCAAACCACTCTGAATGATTTTGTTTACATCTGAACGGTTGACTGATTAAGTAATTTTGCTAAATCGGTGGAGTTCCCCTTTAAAGGGCCCATATCCTACACTATTTACTGTTTATTATTGTTTGTGTTTATGTTGTAACATCTCAATTCATTTTTATATGACCAACATATGAACAACAGTTTTTGTTTCTGTTCCTTCAAGAATGTTATATGTACATGACCTCTGTTCTCATTGGCTGCCCTGTACTGTGCCTCATTCCAAGTAGTCCGGGCTGAAACACTCCTTATAACTTCAGCGTGAATGGGCGGGGCTAAACTGCTGTAGACTGAAAAGGAGGACGTATTTAAATGTGATTGCATGACATCACAAAAACAGTGAATTTAAATCGCAGCTTAGTCTCCATATATGGACTTTAACAATGTTTATAAACCACATCAGCCTCACTGATTTTGGAAAAGCAGGGGAAATTCACTTTTCCGTGATTTGGGCCCTTTAGGATTTGTAATGAATTGTAATTTAAGACCTAATTTGCGGTGACCCAAATCACAGTGTCTCAGCAGCAGCCAACGCTAGTTTGATGTACGGCCCTGTGTCGCACATGCAGCTCTGTACTATTCAATGTATGGGGTGTCTATAAACTAAAAGACCACAAACATTGAATTTAAGATCATTTAATACCTATTAATGCCTTTTACCTATTTATGGGCAGCAACTATCTTTAGTATGCTATGGGAAAATGCCACAGACCTTGTTGTCTCTTTTACTGCCCTGAGGGGAACTGTAGCTGCAGGCTAGTAACTACAAAAGCACGTAAGCTTGTGCGCGTTGAGAATGCGGCTTTGACAGGAAAGTAATCCTGGAGTAATTTTTGTTTTTGGCCAAAACCTCATAACAAAACTATCACAAAACAATGCCGCAGGCATCAAGCAATGCATTTATAACCGCTTTGTGTTATAACTTAACGGGATGTGGCTTTTAGAGCCAGCGTCGGACGTCCGGTTCCTATAACGGTGAACAATTCTGACTGATTTCTCTAGAAAGGCGCATTTCACCCAGAACCACTCTGAATGATTTTGTTCACATCTAAACCACTGAATGATTGTCATTTAGCAAAATCAACGGGGTTCCCCTTTAAAGTGTTACATTTAACTCGAGGATGCCTGGTGACTGTGCTGTGTTTTGGCCAGGTTAACGGAAGTGTCCCCGCTGCTGAAGGAGTCGATGGCCAAGGCGTCTTCCGTGGAGTACATCTCCTCCCTCATGAAGGAGCTCAGACTGACGGAGCAGGATCTACAGAGCCTCGTACAGCTCTTCAAACCCAGCAGACACACATCCTCCACACACCCACACTAAATCAAGCAGTGCTGAATTCAATTGATTGAAATATGTTGATCTGTTCCATATGAATAAAATGATTTATTAATATCATGTCGACATCATTTTTGGACATAATGACACTTTTTTTTTTGCTCCATGTGAAAACACCTGCTGCTCTTTATATTGTGTGAACATTTCATATAAATGGACCAATATAAGTAAAATTTCAAAACTACAAAAAAAGTCAAATATAAAACAAATTAAAAATGGAGAATTGAAAATGAACAAAAAAGCGCTCAGAAGCCTCAACAACTAGATGTAATATCAGATATCAGAAGTGTTCAGTGAGTCACTCTTTACCTTTATTATAGTTTCCATTCTTTTCAGGAGTCTCGCTTTCAGTTTCTCAAAGAATCTGCAGAAACACCTCCACAGTTCAGTCTCAGAAGCTGGTTGATCATTTTCAGAAGTGATCAAACACATTCAGTGATGTTGAGGTCTGGACTCTGCGGTGGTCAGTCCATCGTTCAGCTTCTTTGTTTGATGTGTCCGTCTCCTTTTCTCAGTGAGGTTCTTCTTGACAGCTACACATCCTTTCAGACCCACAGCGCTGAGTCGTCTTCTCACAGTGGAAGGATGGACAGAAACACCTGTGGATGTTTTCAGATCTGAAGCAGCTTGATTTTCTCCTCTCTCTCAGAGATGAAAGCTTTAAGTGCTGTTTATCTGATGGGGGCAGTTTTGGTGTCTACCAGGTCTTCCAGGTGGTTGTTAGGAGGAACATTTTCTCTCTAGCTTTTAATCATTTGTTGAACATTTTTTTCCACTTTGACTTTTGACACCTTCCTTATACAAATGGATAATCACACATATATATATATATATATATATAAAATGAATAATGTAATGAATATGTGTATATATATATATATATAATGTGTGTGTGTGTATATATGTATATATATGCACTACTTATTGGCTGTTTTGACTCAAAATGATATGAAACCATAGGTGAAATTTTGCCTTATAAGCAGCTGTGCATGATGTCAATCAGAATCCATTGGTGATCATTTCAGCAAAGGTTATTTCTATGTAGTATGTACAGTCTTGCAAAAGTTTGGGAACACCTGGTAAAATAAACAGTAATTGTATTGTGCATTCAAATGTGCAGAGGGGTGTTCTCTGTAGAGGGTATAAAAATGTTATTTCCACTTAGAAAATCAGCAAAACATGGAATTTGACCCATATTGTCTTCCCCGTTTCAAAACCTTGTATCTCTACCAGGAGAAGGGAAAAACATACTTTTAATGCAAGTCAATGGAACCAGAATTTTTTTCCAGGTCACTTTTGGCCATTTCTTTCAGACCATTCATCATGAAATGTATACTCAATGTAAAGGTCAACAGGCATATTTAAATTATGTCACACCAAAAATGGAGATACAAGCTTTTGTTCCGACAGCAGTGATGCATCCCAACGACGTACATGACTGAATGATTTTATTGAATACGTTTATTTCCATGTTTTGCCTAATTTTAAAAAGTCTAACTCGTGTATGTGATTTTTGTAGAAATATGAGCAAACATTCAACATTCAGAGACATGAAATTAAATTAAGAAGAAAGTCACATAAAGTCTTGTCCATGGTGAAAGTGGAGATCAGGAGTATGTCCGTCCGTGGACGTCTACACGTCTGCATCCTGATAGTGTTTTCTGTGTAAAGCGTGAGTCTCTTAAGCCTGTGAGCTGTTCTTATTTGAGACCGTGCTGTGCCTCTCTGTGCCTCCTCAGGTCCACTTTGCGCTGGAAGCCTTTAGCGCACAGATCGCAGCCGAACGGCTTGAAGCCTGTGTGTTTGCGGCTGTGTGTGATGAGGTTGGAGCTCTGGCTGAACGCTTTCCCACACACCTGACATTTATGGGGCTTTTCACCTGGAAATACAGGAAAGAGAGGCGTGTTTATCAGTATATTCAGCTAAAACACAAACAATTACACACAAACATGCTCACACTATAAAAATGATCAAGATTTTTTTTTTATGGTTTTAACAAAAGAGCTAATAAGTTGGTTGCTTTAAAAGGTCCATATCTTTCATTTTTTTATTTTACCTTTTCCCTGAGGTCCATTTATATCTTTCGGGTGGGTTGATTTACCAAAAAACAGTCATAATTCATTTTCACATGGTTAATTTCCAATCTTTGTTTATCTCCTATGATTATAAACACACCAGTCTCTTACTAAGTGCCGATACGCTGGTAAAAAAAAATACACTGGTAAAAGTTGAAGTAGGTAAAAAGTGAAGTATTTAAAAATTCCATTGTTGTTAATTGGATGTTCGCAACCATGACGTTAAGCAAGGTTTCGTACCCCTATTTTGAAAAATAATGGTTTGTGCGAGACTTGCATGCGTCATCTGCAAAATTTATTTATTTATTTATTTAATTATTTATTTATGTGTGTGTGTGGGGGTGTAAAGCATACGCCAAAAATGTTTTTGACCCAACGAGACTGAAGTGAGCAGATATGTAGAAAAGCGCAGATATATATTTCAAGGGATCAGCTGCTCCTCAACTCAGCCACGTTTACATGAAGCCTAATAATCCATTAATAATCCGACTAATGGCTCAATCGGAATAGAATACGTCCATGTAAACACCTCAGTCGGAATGGACTAGCCCGATTGAGGCCATTCGGAATATAGTTTCTTTTTGATTGATTGTAAGATTGTAAATAATCTGTTAAAAAGAAGAATAATATCCGTGTAAACGCCTGTATCTGATTACATTCCCTATCGGAAAGCTTAAGTATGTTCTGATCATGTTCGTCACGTCATAGTGAAAGTTTATACCGTTCAACATGGTGGAGCAGAAACTGGTCTGCAGAGGAGACGAAGTTTATGCTCTGATCTTTAAAAGACGGCGGTGGGACGGACGTCCATCTTATGTGTCTCAGAACACGACGTCTTCCTCTCGGCCTTCTTTAATAAGGACATGTGAAGGACGTTTTCCTGAGTCTGACATCATTTTAAAGTAATTAAAAACACAAGCGCTGCTCACTGCTGCTCATCTCACTCTGACTGGACTCACATGATGCCCGTTGTTATGGTAATATCTACACTAAGCGGTTCTCTACAAATGCACGTCATTTTGGATCAGATTACTTGTAGTGAGCATGTAAACTGAGATTTTCCATCAGATTGTTGAGTAGAGTGAGAATAAACACCTCAGTCTTAATCTGTAATCAGAATGTATTTAATCAGATTGGCAAAAATCTTTGCATATAAACGCAGCCAATGTTGCTATACTAAAGTGAGGAAGAGTTCCATGATATGGGCCCTTTAAATGTTGACTTGATTGAAAACAACACAAGATGAACCTGAACTGGGGAACCTGGAATTATTTAATTTAAGAGAAAATCTTTTAATTTTACATAATGATTTTTAATCAGTATTAAAATTGCAGTTGTTCAGCCGATCGTCATGACTCAACTCTCCTCAGCGAAGTGGAAGATGACGTGGCAGAAATTATGGGGGGGCACTGGCCACCTCACCCACCCCTTTAAAACCACACATGCCACACAGTTTTCAGTGCTTTGAGGGGGGAATATGCACTTCTAAAGTAAAATATGAGGTACAGTTTACCTCCCAGGGGCTCCAGGGGCACAGAAGGAACCCAAAACAGCTTTTATGAATGCTAATATCCTGCTAATGCAGCACAGCAACATTCAATCTTACGTTATGGTGAAACCTAAAGTGACAGAAGCTCATCTACTGGGACTATTTTACTGCTCCACACTTACTTGATTGCTATGCATAGTGTGATGTGTTTCTATCTAGCTATGAAGCTAATATGTAAATAAAATGTTTATGCTAAAAATGACTTGCTATATAGAAATCTGTCATTTATAATAAAAAATCTTTTTTTTTAAATGGTTTTTGTCCATTTTGAACACAAAACAGTATGCAGTTCTAGGCCTCATATCATAGAAGCCTATATGATTTTTATATTTAAGTTCATGCTGCTAGAAACACAACACAATATCAATATTGTAGCATTCCTGCACAAAAATCCTCAATGAACCCTTTTATTCTAGATCTCCTAGATATGGGCAAGTCCAGTTTGAAATCAGAGTGAAACTTAAGCCATTTTCTCGTCTCAGAAATTTGTCTCCTGAGAAATAAAACTCAGATTTTCTCGCTTTGATTGAAATGTTGTCACATATGTGGCTTAACTCATTTGTGTCTGACTCATTTCAGCCCAGTCTGAGCTGAGTAATATCTCCATAAGAAAAGTGTGAGATCTCATCGGTTCATTATGTAGCGCTGTTCCAGATCACAGAACTCTCTCAGGAGTCTCTCACTGTAGGAGGAGAACTCATGCTTTGCCCATTCATCACCAGAACTTCTCACAGTGAAATGCTGATCTCCTCTTTTCTCCTGAGGGGAGGGTTCAGGAGAGAGAGGACTGAGAAATCAGTGATTCTTCATTAATACAACACGGAGATCTGCTTTTCTGGCTTTCACTGACCAGATTGCTCTGAAAGTTGGGAAAGCTGGGAAGAGGAAGTTAGCAGTGTTGCTGGCTAATGAGTAATACGGTAATGTCTTTCTTGAGGTATCTTACGTAATGTATAGTGGGCTGACATCATTATCTGGCTTAAGTAATTAAAAACTCACTGAGTGGTGGAGCTGCGGCTTATAGTCAGCAAACTTCTCAGAAAACCAGGTTAGAAAAGAGAAGTTAGCAGCGCCGCTAGACTCTGAGTAATGGAGAGGGTTAGGCTAATTTGTTTCCTTTCCTATTTGCGTATGGTCTGAGTGAAGTCATACCTGCCTCAAATCATTTAAAACTCATTCTTTGGTCACTGCCTGTTGTGGGCTGTAGTGACCAGATTTCTCAGAAATGAAGTTATAAAAGAGGAGTTAGCAGCGTTGTTAGCCACTGAGTAATGTTATGCTTATGTTTTTACGTAAGCTGCCTTTTGTGCCCTCAGAGTGACATCACATCTGACTCAACTGTAAACTTGTTCATGCTGGTGCCACGTTTACATGCACTAATAACCTGATAACTGCAGAAAGATTTTGTCAGTGATTTGTTCTATTGGTTCAAAGCGTTTATACGCGTTTGGGTTATCAGATAATGGAGCAACTCTACACGAGTCAGGCATTAATCGGATTTCTGCTTTATAACCGGCCAATAAACTCATAGAATAAGACGCGATGCAAACTTTGTGTAAAACTCAAACTTCGCAGCTTATTTTAAAACATCAACTCACTTTAACGGAAAATATGAATACACATCTTCTAGATCCCATGTATCAAACAAAAGGCCTGCAGGCCAAGTCAGGCCTGTGGCACAATCCATTTCACCATGAGCTGCACTACAGTTTCCAGCATGCACTGCAACGTAATGTGTGCTCCCACCCCTTCCCCAGCAACAATCTATGGGACAGCACCACAAAAACAAAACAAAACCAAAAAACATGCCAGCTGTCCAGTTCAAGCAAATGGGCAGTTTTAATAAACCTGCTGTACACTGGGGACGTTTGAAGAGGTTTAACAGTTACTTGCAGATAATGTAGTCTATTTTTTTTATATAAAACATTTTGTTTTTATTTAAAATTATTTTTGAATCAGTAGTATTCAGTCCCTATTTTGCTGTTGTAGTTTTGGCATATTTTGAAGTAACAATGACCAGTTTGGGTCGTGGCAAAATGTTAAGTAAAAATAAAGTAAAAACACAGATTTGTAGAGATATTTTAATACGGCCTTTTTAGTGGTTGAGTTTGACACCCCAGGTCTAGAAGATGAAGAATATTCAAATTCCGCATTTTGTCAAGCATGTAGTCGGTTTTAGCGTCACTCCAAAAGTGTTTTGTTGCATCTCGCAGGTGCTGTGTTAAACGCTTCTTGCTGTTTTTTAGGACAGGGCTCAGTTTTCACACATTCACAGAGAAGTGAAAGAAATCAGAGTAAGAGTACACATGCACTGAAAAACCCCATTACTGAGCTCAAATCCAGCTCCTGTGTCGGAATTCTTAATCGGATTTCTAGGTCTTAATCCGATTTAAGAAATTGGAGTGTGCTGTTTACATGACCACTTGAATAATCAAGACAACTGCTGAATCTGATAATGATCAGATTATTATGTGCATGTAAACTCACTCATTGTGACTTCAGATGTAATTTTTCACATTTTTTTACCTGTGTGTATAAATGTATGTTTCTTCATATCTGATTTCTGGTGGAATCTCTTGCCGCAGTACGGACATGCGAACGGCCGAGTGTCCGAGTGGATCAGCACGTGCGTGGACAGAGTTGAGGACCTCTTAAAGCTTTTCCCGCAAATTTTGCAGCTGAAAATCCTCTCCTATCAAAATAAATAGAGAAATCATTTTAAATGAATATATACATACATAAATTAATACACGGAAATATTAGATGTACAACACACAGAAACCTAAATAAAAAGAATACATGACATAATATAAAATATTATAACAAATATACATTTAAATAATATTAATCAATAAATAAATGTAAAGTAGTATGATAAATGAACGCTTAATTCATTAATACAATTAATGTATAAACGTATTATGATTCATTTATGTTTAATTAATATGCTTATTATATCATTGCTGTGCAAAGAAAAACAAGTATCTCCGAATGTTCTTTACTTTTAAAGTAAGTTAATGTAAAGAGATTTTACTCCAAGCAACTTTGGAGCATTTCTATTGTTACGTTCATCATGAAACTTTCACGCAATGTAAAGGGCAGAAAATCACAAAATTTGAGATAATTAATGTTTTTTGGACAGCGACAATATTTTAATGACACATTAATCCCATGCTTTATTAATTCCGACAAAAAAATCCAATTGACATATTTTTCCACTCACCCCAGATACAGATAATCAGCCAAGACAGGTTTGGTCTCCAAATTTTGCTTCTTTAATTTAGCTCTGGAGCTACAAGGCTAACGCTACTAACACACTGCGCCAATAGTCACCCAAATGTCTTCCGTAAAGACATCCCCAAAACTTCTCTCAAACCACTTCCAGCTCTTCATTAAGGTGGTGCAGACTTGTTGATGTGGTTTAGGACACAGTATGATTTACTGGGAACTATAAAAATGGACCCAGATGCTGTTTGAGTGGTTTGAGAGAACTTTTGTTGATGTATTTCTAGAAACAATTTGGGTGACTATTGACTTCTAGTGTTTGTTAGCTACATTAGCCACACAGCTAAACTAAAGAAGCAAAATTTGGACACAAAACGTCTTATCTGTCTGACCACTTCTGGGATAAATTCGATTTTTCGCTGAACCCCTTATTTAACTCTGTACCTGTGAGTGGACGGCTCTGTGCTGTTCCAGACTGACCGCGTGGCCGAATGTTTTTCCACACGTCTCACAGGCGAAGGGTCTCGAGCCACTGTGGGACCGCCGTACGTGCACCTCTAGACCATGGGGGGTGGAAAACACCTGCAGAACGATATAGAACCAACAGTGTATCACCCAAAAACGTATGAAAGTAATATTAAAGTTTTTCAGTTGATGAGAGTCTTGATCTGTCCACTGTTCATTAGAGTTAAACTGACCTAATCAGGGAAAACATATGAATAGATACTGTAAATCACTGTAAAGTAAAAGTGATTTGTAAACCTTACCTTGGTACATTTTATACACTTGTAAGAGCCGTTCAGCTGAAGTCGTGTGTACAGGAGATCAGGCTGCGGTTCGGTCTCAGAGACATCAGCAATGGCCTTAAAGTCAGAGTAATATCCCCTTGTGCGATTGTCCAGTAGACTCAGTGTGCTGTATTTGTGGCAGTATCCCCCACTGGAGGGCTGTTCAGTGGAAAGAGCCTCAGTCTTTCTATCTGATCCTCTGTAAATGCCCATAGGAACCCGATGGAAAGGCGAAATGAAGCGCCTGAGCTCGGATCTGGCCCAAGCAGACGGACGGTAGGTCATGTCAAAAGGTTGGAGGTCATCCGGTGATGAGACAGGACATTCTTCTACATCTGTTCAAAGAATATTGGCTTTATTATTCATAATGCTCTTGGTTTAATGTAATCAGCCAAGATATCTTTGGTGTCTTCTTTAGTTCTGGACTGGAGCTTTGAGGCTAATGCAGCTAACACAGCTAAAATGTAATGTAAGCATACGAATTAGCATTATACAACCTGCATGCCTGAGCATCACACACTCACCTCAAACCGTGAACATGCTAATATGATTTCTGACACTGTGTGACTGTCAGTGGGGAACCTCAGGGGCTTCAAAGCCTCCAGAGAAGGCCTAGTGATTTCTGGGAACTAAAAATGCATGTCTGTATTTTTTTTTTTTATTCATTTTTATTTACTGTGTTATAGTAATACTCTTGTTTCACTGTTAAGTTTAGGTTAAAAACAAAATAGTTCCAATCTTGAGAAGCCCAATGTAAAATTATACAATCAGGATGTCTTTTACAACTTTCAACTGTCTGTTTAATCTAGAACAACCCAAAAATGCCCATATGCACCAGCATTAGCTTAGTGCTAACATACTACTGGAAATCCCATATAGGCGCTAGCAGAAATGAACATTTAAGGCCTGAACTGAAGGCCTATCTCTAATAGTTATGGTTCCACTGCTTACGGTTATCCACGAAAAATGGCTAAAGGTATGCTGCATAGCTAAAAACAGCACTAGTCACCTCAGCTTTGTCCATTCTTTTGTCCATTTGTTCAGATAACGTTCATGTCATGATGTATGTTGATGATTTAGTTATACAGTTTGCCTAAAGATTTGTGGGATATGAGCTTCCACTACTTCTGAGCTACATTGCGCTCCAATGCAAAACGTCAGCCACCACGCAGGTCTTGACTGATTGACTACATTTACAAGGCATAAATCTGACTTACTGTTGTTTTAACTTACTATTTGGATTTCAATGCCTGTCATATTCTAAGGCAACATATTAATGTCATAATCTAAGGAAACAACAAATCATTTCCTTACAGTGCAGTGTGAAAATGAACCCGGCACTAACTGACAGGATTAAAATATTTGCACCTGGAGATGCAGACGACTCCTCCTCATGGTCCGAAGGTCGGTCACAGACACTGTCTCCACAGCTGAGGGATCTCCACGACTCCTCTTGGTCTGAAGGTCGGTCACACACACTTCCTCCACAGCTGAGAGGGGAGTGCTGAGCGCAGTTCTCCGCTGTGTGGACAGCGCTGCCCTCAGGTGAGCACCTGCCTGCATCCTCACAGCACTGGGACACATTTCCTGCTTGGATTTCTGCACAGGAACAACCAGGAGAAGGTTACTTTTGTTTGTAACTGTTTTATGTTCCCAAAATAGCCCTAATTCTGTTTTAACATGAGCATTTTCAACCTCACTTTAATTAAACAGGCTGTTTTTGCTATCGTGCCTTTAAAACTCATTAGTAAATGACCTGTATTCTGACTGTGATTAGGTGTCTTGTATTGTGCAGAACAAGCTTTCAGTTGGTTAAATTTAGACTAAAATGTTCAGTGAATTAAACTTCAGCCGCTCCTTTTGGATGTGTGGATCTGTGAAAGGCTGCAATGATCCATTTGCTTCCTGACAGCCACAAACAGCACAGCGTTTAATCGTTTTCTCCACATCTTCTGTTCTGATAACTCTCTGTCTACAGACTGTCTGCAGGTACAACACTCCACATTACTTCAATGGGACCTGGTGGGGCAAAGCTGCTGTAGGCTGAATGAGTGGGACTAAACTGCTGTAGGCCGAGTGGGTGGGACTAAACTGATGTAGGCTGAATGGGTGGGGCTAAACTGCTGTAGGCTGAGTGGGTGGGACTAAACTGCTGTAGGCTGAGTGGGTGGGACTAAACTGCTATAGGCTGAATGGGTGGGACTAAACTGCTGTAGGCCGAGTGGGTGGGACTAAACTGCTGTAAGCAGAGTGGGTGGGACTAAACTGCTGTAAGCAGAGTGGGTGGGACTAAACTGCTGTAGGCTGAGTGGGTGGGACTAAACTGCTGTAGGCCGAGTGGGTGGGACTAAACTGCTGTAGGCCAAGTGGGTGGGACTAAACAGCTGTAGGCCCAATGGGTGGGACTAAACTGCTGTAGGCCGAGTGGGTGGGACTAAACTGCTGTAGGCTGAATGGGTGGGACTGAACTGCTGTAAGCAGAGTGGGTGGGACTAAACTGCTGTAAGCAGAGTGGGTGGGACTAAACTGATGTAGGCTAATTGGGTGGGACTAAACTGCTGTAAGTAGAGTGGGTGGGACTAAACTGCTGTAGGCTGAGTAAGTGGGACCAAACTGCTGTAAGCCGAGTGGGTGGGACTAAACTGCTGTAGGCTGAGTGGGTGGGACTAAACTGCTGTAGGCCTAATGGGTGGGACTAAACTGCTGTAAGCAGAGTGGGTGGGACTAAACTGCTGTAGGCCGAGTAGGTGGGCCCAAACTGCTGTAGGCCGAGTGGGTGGGACTAAACTGCTGTAGGCAGAGTGGGTGGGACTAAACTGATGTAGGCTGAGTGGGTGGGACTAAACTGCTGTAAGCAGAGTGGGTGGGACTAAACTGCTGTAGGCTGAGTAAGTGGGACCAAACTGCTGTAGGCCGAGTGGGTGGGACTAAACTGCTGTAGGCTGAGTAGGTGGGACCAAACTGCTGTAGGCCGAGTGGGTGGGACTAAACTGCTGTACGCTGAATGGGTGGGGCTAAACTGCTGTAGGCCTAATGGGTGGGACCAAACTGCTGTAGGCCGAGTGGGTGGGACTAAACTGCTGTAGGCTGAATGGGTGGGGCTAAACTGCTGTAGGCCTAATGGGTGGGACCAAACTGCTGTAAGCAGAGTGGGTGGGACTAAACTGCTGTAGGCTGAATGGGTGGGGCTAAACTGCTGTAGCTGAATGGGTGGGGCTAAACTGCTGTAGCTGAATGGGTGGGGCTAAACTGCTGTAGGCTGAATGGGTGGGACTAAACTGCTGTAGGCTGAATGGTGGGACTAAACTGCTGTAGCTGAATGGGTGGGGCTTAACTGCTGTAGCTGAATGGGTGGGGCTAAACTGCTGTAGGCTGAATGGGTGGGACTAAATGGCTGTAGCTGAATGGGCGGGGCTAAACTGCTGTAGGCTGAATGGGTGGGACTAAATGGCTGTAGCTGAATGGGCGGGGCTAAACTGCTGTAAAAGGAAAACCAGTGTTCATATACAGTACCTGTGCATGAGTATGTTATAAGTGTATGGAGCTGGATGTGGTCATCCTCCAAGCTGCGGGGCTGGTGGTAGCTGTGTGCCCGTTTACTCTTCACCAAAAACGACCTTGGCATGATGGTCACTCTCAGGGTCAAAGGTCACTACCACAGGCCTTCAGGAGCTGTGTTGTTTGATTGGGGAGATTAAAAAAACAATTTATCACCAAACCGCAGCCTGTGGGCATTTTTATAAACACAGCCATGTGCATGTAAATGGGTCACATGACGTAATTCACCACATCCATAAAACCTGAAGCCCTGCGTCGTGGATCTGGTGTGAGCTGAAATAAATTCCCCTGAGCTCACCCTGGTTTGCAGTTTCTCTGTTTGGAAACCTGACCAGTTCTCCTGGAGTATCAGAGAAACATTATCGCCTCCGCATCAGTGATGCAGAGACACAACCAAAACTGCATGTAACAGCCTGCTGGCGTGGCCGAAAGCATCCTGGTACTGTCCAGATAATTGTTTATTAATATGTGCAGGTCAAGAATATATATATATATATATATCGCTGCTGTCAAAACCTTGTATCTCCAAAATGGTAACTTTACAAAAGAAGGAAAAAACATACTTTACTTTGAATGTAAGTCAATAGAACCAGACTTCTTTCTAGGCAATTGGTGAAATTTACACGCAATATAAAGAGTAACAGGTACTTTCAAATTCTGCCAAAAACTGAAAAATGGAGACTTTTGACACCTTCCTTATTCAAATGAATAATCATATATATATATATATATATATATATATATATATATATATATATATATATGTGTGTGTGTGTGTGTGTGTGTGTGTGTGTGTGTGTTATATGTGTGTATATATATATATATATATATGTGTGTGTGTGTGTGTGTGTGTGTGTGTTATATGTGTGTATATATATATATATATATATTTATATATACACCTGATGATAGAATAATCTGGAAATACCAGCAGCTTGTAATAACATAGATTTACATGAACTTACACTGGAACTTAAGAATCTTTTTCAGTTCTCCTTTTTCAGTTACTATTTTAGAGCTACAAGATATGTGCAATATTTATATATATATAAAACGTCATAGAACACCATTCAAAGGTATAGACGTGCTTTGATTGAGTATTTTTTCATTTTAAAGGCATTCTGATGTACACATTCACACATTTTGGCTTAAATGACAGAAATGCCTGCGTATGAATATATTTCAAACAAGTATTTTCCTTTTGCAGTGCCTCCAAAAAGCAAACCAGGTCTCAGCATATGTTGAACCTCATCAGTTCTGTTGAAGCATTCTAAGTGGCTCCTCATCAAGGTGTCTGAGATTATGCAGGGTGCATAAAATTGAGATCAAGGCAAAACAGGCTACTTTTAAGAACCTAAAACATGAGACAATTCTGTTTCATTTTTTCAATGGTCAATCAAACGATGTTATATCATAGTTTGATGTCTTTGATCACTTTTTATCTTAAATGAATAAAACAGGTCTGTCTAAACGTCTGTGCTTTTGATTGGTATTGGAATAAATACAAATAAGCAAATAAACAATCCCAGTAATTACAGTTACCATCACCTGACCAATCCTTCATTACATTAAATCAGGCGCTGCTGATGGAACTGAACAAATCCATGTGAGGATCCATGTCAGGAACCAAACCTGTGTTTGTGTTTTATGTTTATTTTTGTATATATTCTAATGTTTTTCTTACATTTTACTGGCAAAACCACACAATAAATAGTTTTATACATTTTACTCAGCGTCTATGACTTCTAAAAAGCTTCTATCTAGAACCTTTTTAAAAATGGTTCTGTAAAGCACAAAAAGAGGGTTCTTCTTTTGCTTCAAGCTTGACATCGCAACATGTAATTCTCTATTTCAGAGGGTAAAATCATAGAGTACACTCTTAAAAGATGGTTCTTTAGTAAAGAGTTCTATATAGAACATCTCATGCTTGACATCGTAACAATAGAAGAACCTTTTTTGGTGCTTTACGAAACCATTTTCAAAAAGCTTCTATATAGAACCATATGCAACACGTTCTCCACCAATCCGAGGAACCATTTAACCATGCAGAGAATCATTTAAGCATGAGGTGCTCTATATAGAACTCATGGTTCTAAAAAGAACCATCCTCTTTACTAAAGAACCCTTGATGAGCCATCTTTTTTAGAGTGTAGTCTATGGTTTTACCCTCTGAAATAGAGAATTGCATCATCTATTGCCACCATAACTGTGTATTAAAGTAATACGTAAAGCAGTATAAGAACCCAAAGATCCTATCAGTCAAATATGTTCTAAAATTCTGGGCTACAAGTTTAGGGATAATGACGCCGAGCGCCTAGAAGCTCCCTGTGCTGGTCATATGCAGCAGGTTTTAACCTCGTCCCCATAAAATCATTGCCCGCGTGCTGAGCTCAAGGTCTGACAGCAAGATAGAAGGGATTTCAATCAATGTGGGAAAAAGTTGAGCACAGCAGCTGTGAGCACTGAACCACACGAACTGCAGCAGCACAGAGAACATGCAGCACAATCTGCACGGCTGAATTAACATCTGTGATGAATGGACACCTGTAGAGCTAATTTAATACCTGAACTTTTGAAGTAGGACCTGCAGCGCTCACTGCTGTTCAGCTGGACAGACAGTAAACGCTGCACGTATGTTTGATTTGTTAGAATTAAAGGCTAAGATGGTGAATTCTGTGACAACAAAACACAAAAAGAGCTGTAAGTTGTAAGTGTAAAAGTATGAATTATGTACGAATAAAACACTGTAAGACTGATTACTGAAATAATAAAACACTGTAAGACTGAATTTTACATGTATAAAACACTGTAAACTGAGAATAAACCACTGTATGTTGAAATTATATATGAATAAAACACTTTAAGACTGAATTTTATATGTATAAAACACTGTAAGACTGAATTCTATATGAATAAAACACTGTAAGACTGAATTCTATATGAATAAAACACTGTAAGACTGAATTCTATATGAATAAAACACTGTAAGACTGAATTTTATATGACAAACACTGTAAGACTGAATTCTATATGAATAAAACACTGTAAGACTGAATTCTATATGAGTAAAACACTGTAAGACTGAATTCTGTAAGTAAAACACTGTCAGACTGAATTTTATATGACTAAAACACCGCAAGACTGAATTCTATGAATAAAACACTGTAAGACTGAATTCCATATGAATAAAACACTGCAAGACTGAATTCTATATGAATAAAACACTGTAAGACTGAATTCTATATGAGTAAAACACTGTCAGACTGAATTCTATATGAATAAAACACTGTCAGACTGAATTCTATATGAGTAAAACACTGTAAGACTGAATTCTGTAAGTAAAACACTGTAAGACTGAATTCTATATGAATAAAACACTGCAAGACTGAATTCTATATGAATAAAACACTAAGACTGAATTCCATATGAATAAAACACTGCAAGACTGAATTCTATATGAGTAAAACACTGTAAGACTGAATTCTATATGAATAAAACACTGCAAGACTGAATTCTATATGAGTAAAACACTGTCAGACTGAATTCCATATGAATAAAACACTGCAAGACTGAATTCTATATGAGTAAAACACTGTAAGACTGAATTCTATATGAATAAAACACTGCAAGACTGAATTCCATGTGAATAAAACTTTAAGACTGAAAAGAGTGACAACAAGCCAGAATGAAAGCTGCTGTGTAGATCAAGATTTAGCTGTATCTTGTAACTGTTCTGGAAATAATGTACGTAAAGCAGCCAGTAAAGCCCATTAAACGAAAACTGAACTGAACTGAGATTCGACTGTGTACGTGTTGAAAAGTTGCCATTTCAACATCAAAACCTTTCTAGGCGTAACAAAACATCCAAACGTAAACAGTTCTGAACACGTCGTCATTTATAGCCTCTATTTTTTATGTTTCATAGCGAATTAGTGCTGATCTGTTCAGCAAAACGAGAGCGTGGACAGACTGGAAACCCACAGTCAGTGATTCCTCTCTACAGCTGCAGCAGCACAGACATCACAGACTCCACAGCGCATTAAGAAACAGCACATTAAAGAAGTGAGTTAAAGTCCAAAGAAGCCAAACAAGCCACAGTTAACACAGTGCTTTAAGCTCCACAGCTGAGTTTTATGATGTGTGTGTGTGTACTGACCTGTTGCTCTCTCTCTCTGTGTCTCTCTCTCTGTGTCTCTCGCTCTCTCTCACTCTCTCTCGCTCTCTCTCGCTCTCTCTCGCTCTCTCTCGCTCCCTGCTGCTCTCTCTGAAAGTGTAACTGCAGTGAAGCTCCGCTCCTTAAATAAGACCGTCCACTTCCTGCAGGTGAGCAGCAGCAGCCCCCTCACAGCAGGACGGCGCACAGCACAGGTAAATCTGCCTCTACAGCTGCACTGACGAGATTATTATGAACACAGAACATATTTTGATACTATAAAATATGACCAAATATGATTTTTATACTATAAAATAGTTACACTGTAAAACATGATTGTGATGCTATAAAATATTCATGTATCATTATTTAATACTTTGATATCACAACATAATATCAACTACAATTCTGATACTCTTCATTTTAATGCTATAAAATACTATTATGATGCTTTACAACATAACTTTGATTCTGTATTATTAAACATTATATTGATACATAATAAAATCTCGATGATATAGGATTGGGTATCGCTTTAGAATAAGACTACCCTTATAAACGGTTTATAAATGATTTAAAACTAGTTTATTAATGTTACTAACCAGATAATAAACACCTTAAAATTCTTAATGAACATTTATAACACTTTAATAAGAAGGGTAAAGTGGGCTATTATATCTGACGACGAGGTGTAAGGCTGACTGATGAAGGTGTTTATAAACTGATTAATAAACTAATTTTAAACCATTTATAAACCATTTTTAAGGCTTGTTATACTATATAAGTTCATTATGATGCAGAAAACTATGACTTATATGCTACAAATATTATTTAGACGCTATTTACAATATCATCTTCACGATATAAAATGACTTTGATACTACAAAATACAAATGTGCTGCTAGAAATATGTTTTTGATACTATAAAATGGGATTATAATGCTATAAAATACAGTTTTGACAATATAAAATATGATGTTTTTGCTTTAAGATATGATTTTGATTCTCTGAACTGAATCCCAGGTTGGATGTCGATGTCCTCTTTTAGATTTCAACGCCTGTACTGATCTAAATCAGATCAGGATTTTCTTCCTCTCTTCACGGGCAGATTTCATATTTGGCCTGCATGTCATTATATGCAATTATTCTGCCAGGAATAAAGAACAACGGCACACTGACGACACGCTGAGTTATGTTTAGCCCACAGCTCACTGCCTCGAACCTTCTTTTGAGTTATCCAAGTCTAATTTGGTAATAGTCACGGTGTAGGTGTGGAAAAAACTCCAGATTTAGCCTTGTGTAGTAAATATGTCATAAGGACACGCCTCGTGTGGGATGAGTGCACGGAAGCTGTGTCAGCTTTACAAATCGACTCAGATTCAGTTAGTGGTAGATAAAAATCAACACTAATTTTTATGGGCTATGAAGCCTGTATGGTAACCAAAAATCATATTCAGTCAGAGCATTAATAACATACTTTTCATTATATATATCGCTGCTGTCGGAAGAAAACATTGTATCTCCATTTTTGTTGTTTTTCAGTTTTTAACATAATTTGAAAAGGCCTGTTGCTCTTTACATTGTGTGTAAATTTTATGATGAATGGACCAAAAGAAACGGCCTAAAATGACTTGGAAAAAAGTCTGGTTCCATTGACTTACATTAAAAGTAGAGTGTGTTTTTTCCTTCTCCTGTAAAGTTACCATTTTGGAGATACGAGGTTTCCTCCGACAACAGCGATATGCATTCATCTCATTTCATATTCATATACTTTACAACACCACTGATATGAAGGACTTTGTTCTTAGCACCACAAAAACATTTAGAGAAGTTTACGTTTCATGCAAACTATTATTAACGAAAATAAACATTTTCATACCATAAAATATGACCAAATATGATTTTTATACTAGAAAATAGTTACGCTGTAAAACATGATTGCAATGCTATAAAATATTCATGTATCCTTATTTTATACTTTGATACCACAAGATACTATCAACTACAATTCTGATACTTTTATTTTTAATGCTATAAAATTCTGTTATGATGCTGTAAAACACTTTTGATTCTGCATTATTAAACATTGTTCTGATACATAAAATCTTGATGGTATAGGAGTAGGTATCACTTTAGAATATGACTACCCTTATAAACGGTTTATAAATGATTTAAAACTAGTTTATTAATGTTATTAATCAGATAATAAACACCTTAAATACTTAATAAACATTTATAACACTTTAATAAGAAGGGAAAAGTGAGCTATTACATCTGACGACAAGGTGTAAGGCTGACTGATGGTGTTTATAAACTGATTAATAAACATTAATAAACTATTTTAAACCATTTATAAGACTGACTGATGAAGGTGTTTATAAACTGATTAATAAACATTAATAAACTGATTTTAAACCATTTATAAACCCTTTATAAGGCTTGTTATGCTATATAAGTTCATTATGTGCTATAAAATATGACTTATATGCTAGAAATATCGATGCTATTTACAATATCGTCTTCATGATATAAAATGGCTTTAATACTACAAAATATAAATTTACAATGACAAATATGATTTTTATACTATAAAATAGTTATGCTGTAAAACATGATTGTGATGCTATAAAATATTCACATATCATTACTTAACACTTTGATACCACAAAGTCTATCAACTACAATTCTGATATGTTTAATTTTAATGCTATAAAATACTATTATGATGCTGTAAAACATTATTTTGATTTTGTATTATTAAACGTTGTTTTGATACATAATAAGATCTTGATGGTATAGGATTGGGTATCACTTTAGAATAAGACTACACTTATTAACAATTTATAAATCAGCGCTTTTATATCCGATGACAGCTGTGAAATATGACAGGTGTAATTCTGCCTGATGAAGGTGTTTGTTAACTGATCAATAAACTTTAATAAACTAATATTTAACCATTTATAAACCCTTATAATTGACCCATAATAGCCCATTTATAAAGGCTATCCGAGCTGATGTGCTTGTGTTGGAATTTTATTTAACAATAAAGTTCAGCATGTGCCTCAAACAATGCACTGTTCAGAAATACATCACATCTGAAACAAGAGTCCATTACCAACCCCAGTGCTCAGATCATGATCAGTCATCGTTTTATGCAGTGGACTAGTGCAGACCAGCGGTGTGGATTCAAGGGCTCATTGGAATTGGGCCTTCCTATGTTATTTTACACTCACCCAGGCCCAGATTAAGCCTAAGCCTAGACTGCAAAGTACTTCCAGCGGTGATTCACCACTGCCACTGTGATTTAGTCCAAGTTTAGGCTTAATTCTGCTCAGGGAAACCAGTCCTGTCTGTGGGTTCACACTTCAGTTCCACTTCAGTCTCATAACTGCAGAGTTTATAGAACATTCTTACCAAAAGGGTTCTATATAGTACCAAAAAAGGGTTCTTTGGCTTGCAACAACAGTAGAACACATTTTTCAAATAGGGTTCTATATAAAACCATCGAAAACACATTCTCCATCAATCCGAAGAATGCTTTCACGATGCTTTATTCATGCAAAGGGTTCTTTGAGTGTCCCAGGTTCTATATAGAACAATTTTCTTTAGTAAAGAACCCTTGAAGAACCATCTTTTTAAAGAGTATAACTACTGAATAATTTAGTTGCTGCTGAATAATTCATAGTAATTGATGAGGCCTTTAAAGTAGTTACTAAATAATTCATAGTAGCTACTGAATAATTTACAGTTGCTGCTGAATAATTCATTGTAGTTACTGACAAATCCATAGTAGCTACAGAATAAATGATGGTCATTGCTGAATAATTCATAGTGGTTACTGGATAATATATTAACAGTTACTGGAAAATTTGTTAAGATGAAAAAGTCAAGATTAATAACTGATAATAAGCCTGCAGTTTAAGGCCTTAACCAGTGCAAGTTAGCTTCAAGTGCAAGTGCATGACAAGATCTGATGTTCGAGTCCACAAAGGCAGCACAATGGAGAGTCTGCAGAACAAGAGTGATGACCGGACCATCTGTGGTGTGGTAGGCTAAGAGTCTCCGCTACAAAGCGCTATAAAGCCTGTATTACTTTACAGCTCACACAGGTGCTACACATCACTGCTTTGGTGGACATGGTCGTGGGCCGGTTGGTCAGTGCTGTTCATAGCCCATGTTCTTCGCCCCTCGTCTGGTCGGATGCTCATGGAGACAGTTCGGCTAGCCAGCGGGATGGCCGCCCACTCTCAAGTGTCATTATGCTGCAGCCTGGTGGCTTCCTTCTGCCTGGAAAGCCTCCGAATCTGTACAGGACCAAGACCCACCCATGAGTTACAGTAAAGCCTTAAAGGAAAAATACATGCAGTCTGAGTCAGCTCTACAAATTATATCAGGTTCGGTTAGCGGTAGATAAGGACTAAGGCTCATTTCTATGGTATATAAGGTACTGAAGAAATAGTTTGGCAAAAAAAAGTGAAATTTACACAATTTTCTCCTAACTTCAAAATGTGTGAGATCAATCAAGACATGTTTTGTGTCTGAAGTTCACTTCTTGAAGAAACAGAAGCTTATGTTTACCAATTAGCATTGAGCTGACTGCACATCTGCTTCCTGATAGCTGCTACTACTGTTTTGCTAATTGGTGGGGTATAAGCTTTCACCACTTATTAGCCTTGTAAAGCACTGTGCCAGTCAGAGACCACCCTTCATTTACTTAACTTTCCAGTCAAAACAGCCACTGTTATTCATTTTTCATGAGAGATTTCTGAGATTAGAAATAACAATCTACTTGCATAAGTTAATAAAATAAGAAAAAAAAAACAAGTTTCCAAAACTTGAGCTTAAAAACCGATTAAAATCTAGAGAGAAAGGGGGATTCCTGAAAACCACCTGGAAGACCCGGTAGACACCAAGACGGCCCCCATCAGATAAACAGCCCTTAAAGCTTTCATCTTTGAGAGAGAGGAGAAAATCAAGCTGCTTCAGATCTGAAAACATCCACAGGCGTTTCTGTCCATCCTTCCACTGTGAGAAGACGACTCAGCGCTATGGGCCTGAAAGGATGTGTAGCTGTCCAGAACAATGGACTGACCACCCCAGAGTCCAGACCTCAACATCACTGAATGTGTTTGATTACTTCAGAAAATGATCAACCAGCTTCTAAGACTGAACTTTGGAGGTGTGTCTGCAGATTCTTTGAGAAACTCCTGAGATAAAGAATGGACACATTAAATATTGAAGAAATATATTATGTTTAGTTGTTAAAGCTTCTGTGTGATTTTCTGTACATATATATATATATTTTAAGTGTTCAGTACCTCAAGACTGTCCAAACTTATATATATATATATATATATATATATATCCTATGCTGAAAATGGCGAGGCCTACTAACAAAGCTGAGCAGATGAGAGAATAATTGTACGATGCACTTGGAAAATGGAACTGCAATTGCAGTCTGTGTTCAATGGCGTTTACAGTGTGTGAATCACATAATCCCACAATGCCATTTCTACAAGATGTGTTGAGGTACTGAACACTTAAAAGTGCAGGCTTGATTCATGAGGCCTACTCTCTCTTTAACTGTAAACAGTAGCAGCGCCTGCTGCATGGTGAAAGCTGTACGCCTTGTTCTCTTCGTCTCTGGATGAAGTCTCACTGTGCTGAACGTAAATGTGACAAACAAACTCTCATCAGTCAGAACAGGAAAACCAAAGCCGCTCTGAACTGACGCTATCACTGCACCGAGAGGTCAACGTGATGATGAGCTTGTGAAATGAGGTCTGCCCTTTTTTTTCTCTCTCTCTCTCACTCACTCGAGCCTTGATCGTAACTCCTCGGCTCTTTAGAGAATACGTGATTGAAATAGCAGCACAGGATAGCTGTGATAAGACGCTGAGGTTTTTCTTTTTTTGTTCTTCTCGGTTTGCGCTGAACTTCGACGGATGGAGCAGGGCTGTAAAAAATAAACAGCAGAAGCGAAGTGTGCGTGGCCTGCTTAGATATTTCTGCAGCTCAGCCGAAAGCTCTTCAACCTGAGAGCCATAGCAGGTGACTGTAGCTGAGGCTAAAAAGACATGACCTTTGTTGCCACATTTCATCACCACACATGTGTGAATTAAAGGTTAGATCACAGAGCTGTCCAAACTTAACAGCTTACCAAGGCTGCAGGAAGTGCAGGGTATTTTAAAGCCTGCGTACTGTCTCTGTGAGCTGCTTTAGCCAATGTCAAGCTAAAACACGAGCCTAGCATCTCTCTCACTAGGCCAGGGGTCAGCAACGTGTGGCTCTGGAGCCACGTGTGGCTCTTTTACTGCCCTGTTGGGGCTCCACAGCAGAATTAGATTTGTAGGTAAACATAAAATAATCCTCCTTTACAGTAAAATAAAGCTCTGCTGATCGTTCAACACAGTTTAACAGTAAATGGTCTTAAACTCTGGAGTTAATGTAGAACTGCTAATTCAAACTTTAACCCTGAAGGCTGGCGCACTGACTGCTGGTCACCATAGCAACGCAGACTACGGTCTCGCCTAGCTAGTAGCTAATAAAAAGGCAAAGAGAAAGATTTAAGACAAACATTGATAATTTGAAGACAAATTTACATTTATAATCACTCCAGCTGGTTTCCTGATATGTTTAATCTGCAACAATAAACTGTCAAACGCTAAAAAGTCACGATGCTGAAGTCAGTTTCTCATGTACCAGATTCTTGTTTGAATTTTCACATTCCACCTTAAATGGTGCAACAGTTAGCTACATAATTAGCTACATTCTGGCACCTCAGGCACCATTTAAGGTGGAACGGGAAAATTCTAAGAAGAAGCTGGCGAATAAGAAACTGACCTCAGCTTCATAAAAAGTCAAACATTGAGAGACATTTTACTAGAAACTGTTCTACATTTGGAAAAGTTTCCTGCCAGAGATGCGAGAAAAGCAGCTATAGCTGAGCTAAAGCTTAAAGCAGAGCAAAGTAAGTCTGCATTTTCGTTTATATTATATTTTTAGCCTATACTAGCACATCAGCACATACTTACACCCAAGATGGTGAAACGTTACTCTAATAAAATAGATATGAAGTGTTGTCCAAAGGTGGTTAGATTTTTGTTGAAACTTGACAAAACGGCTCTTCTTAAAGTTTGGGTTGCGACCCCTGCACTAGACAATCTGTCTTCCACTGGGTTGCACACAAACAGCAGCCAGATTATGAGAAGCAGATGACTGTTCATCTGAGGAGAGAGAAAAACCAGAAAACCGCCATACCCGGTTTATCATCTGGTAGGTTCCCCCCGGCCACAGAAACCACACAACCTGAGACTGAGAGAGGAACTACATTTACATTTTACATGTAGTCACTTTGCAGATGCTCACACAACAAACATGCTAAGAGTCAAAAAGCAAAGTGAAAGGCTACATAGCAAATCTGAAATGATTCATAACCCATACGACAAGAAGACTCTTCTCTGTCTTATCTGATCGTGATTGTGTGCAAGTGTAATGCAGAGGAAAAAAACATTTCAAAGTGCAACAGTGCAGTAAGAGTAACAACACTGCTCATTTACATCTAGCAAAGCAGAGCTAGCCAGACCAGCACAAACCCAACCCCTTAACTTGCCAGCACATTATTCAGATATTAACATCAAGACTTTTCATTTAGAAACTACTATAAATTATTTAGAAACTAATCTGTAAGGTCTGTAGTTGAAGAGTGTGAGGAACTGAACTGTGTACCCAAATAGAGGCCCTGTAGAGTTCATGCGGTTCAAGATTTGAAAAGTACTTTCGCACTGCAGGTAATGGAAGTATATGGATACTTTGTTCTGCAGTCAAAGAACTTTAGATCAGGGCTGGCCTTGGAGCTCAGATCACTGCTCTCAGGCTCTGGTCTTATTCAGAACTAATCTGCGGCTCACTTCCCCCAGCCACTTCAACTCTGCTTCACTTTCACACGATGCAGCATCTGCTAACTGAAGGCCGCCTCTCATCAAGCAGCACAGCTTAAAGTACATCACGGCTACTAACTCTTTAGGGTCAGCTCAAAAAGCCGTCCATTTCTGACATTTAATCTGATCTTTTTCTATCATAACTTTAAGTGCAATGCTGTTAAAACGTGGACTAAAGTACAACATGGCTGCTGTTTCTGTTTTTAGCTATTTAGTGTAGCTTTGTCCATTTTTTTTTTAGTTAATAGTACAGAGTGTCCCAAAAAATTGACATAATTTGAGATGTGAATGTCTAAGTAACTACATTAAATAGGCTTCATGTTGAACAATACAAGATTTATTTATCAAAATTCGAAACAGAAATTCAGAGGGATGTAGATTTTATAACTGATTTCACAGCTTCACAAATGTAATATCTTCCAATACTGGTGGTCGTCCAGGTCCCTCTGCGCTGCACAGACAGCCTTCCTCTTTGAATTTTTTGTGCCACGTCCAAATTCTGCTTTCCAGTTGGTGCATTTTTATTGAATTTTCTCGAAAATGCGCGCTGCACACTCTCGTTTGACTGTGTTCGAGCATATTCTAACACACAAAACGCCTTTTCATTTCTACTGAACGCCATTCTTCAACCTGAAAAACAAACATTAAAAATTAAACTTGGCTAGTTTTTACACATTTTGCTCTAATCTGAGATAATTTGAGGGAGAATTGGTTATTAGACTGCGAAATAATGTCAATTTTTTTCGACACCCTGTATGTTACAGCATGTTATCTATAAAAATATGATTTAATCATGTAATTTGCACAATACAAATATATCACTGCTGTTGGAACAAAATCTCCTATCTCCATTTTGCCTGTTTTTGACATCATTTGAAAATGCCTGTTGCCCTTTACCTTGACTGTAATCTGATCTTTTCCATTATAACTTTAAGCGCAATGCTGTTATTAGTTTGATATGTACAGCATGTCGAAAAGTTTTGAAGGAGAAAGCATGTAAATGTGAATACACTTCATATATTAGTGGACTTTTATAGGTACTATAAAGAAACAGCAATAAAAAGAGGTCTTACACATTAGAGGTCTACACAAGGCGGGCTAACACTTTCACACCATGTGAAAAAAATGTGTGTGTGATTCATTTTGAGGCATTGCGCTCATAGTGGGTAAGCAGCTGGTCTCATTGAGCTTGTGCATGTGGACGTTATGGCTTGCTGGGTGGGTCAGGCATAATGCAGCTGTATAACACATGTTTTCTAAGCCGCTTATCCTCCAGGGTCGTGGGGGTGAGCCGATCCTAGCGCTCATTGGGCAGAAGGCAGGAAAGACCCCGGACAGGTCGCCAGTCCATCACAGGGCAGACA